GTGTGTGTGTGTGTGTGTGTGTGTGTGTGTTTACCTGCACAAACACAGTGTCTGCGTGCCGCCTGATAGTCACGGCATGGAGACGCCCATCAGCTAAGTTCACGCCTCTGCTGCTCAACACCTCGACATCTCTGCTGCTGTGCAACTTGTACCTCATTTCCAGCTCATCTTTAGAGATCATAAAAAAACATATTAAAGGAGACATATCCTGGTTTTAAATACTTTTTTTTACAGTTAAATCATTCAGTTGGGTCTATGGAACTGCAAAGCTTTGGACTGAATCCCTCCTTACTGCAACTCCACAAGCCCCTCTTTTAGACTAGTTCATTCCAGTTTAAGAGAGGGGTTTACGACTATATAGCTGCGCGGGAACCTTTTATTTACAAATTAATTAAAAGTTGTCAACTAGGGAAGACGTGTTCATCCAGCCTGACATGTTGGAGCCAGAGTCTGACCCAGAGCCAGAGGAGAATGAAGACCACCAAACTGATTAGTTGGTAAGTTCAGACCTTCTGTTCTGCCACAAATAATTTGATGTAATTCTTCAGAAAACATCATAGAAAACAGAGAAAACTGAATGGGTTTGAAAAATATGACCCAAACAGAATTCAAGGTAGATCTCAATGCCAAAACAACGAGTGGTATGTGTCCACCTGCCCTGGACTTGTCTGCATTTAAAGCACTGAGCATGCCCTTGTTACTTTTATTACCTCCACCAAGGGAGGAGGTAATGTTTTCGGTCGCGTATGTCTGTGGACAAAATTACTCAAAAACTTGTGGACGAATTGTCATGAAATTTTTAACACGTGGGTATTGGCCAAATGAACACAATAATATCCTGATGCATCTCAGTAATCCAGGTAAAAAATCAAAAAGAAAAAAATTGTATACGTCTTCTGGACGGGTTCTTCTTTAATGAAATGTTTCGTCTCTCCTCCAAGACTTCTTCAGTCTGAGAGTTTCAGGCAAAATTCAGGCATTTAAGCCCTGCCTCCATGTGACTGATACTCACATCACATGGCTATCGTTGACACCTAATTAACACTTATTGTTAACGGGGGTGGAGTGATACTGGCAATAGCTGCGCTGTAGGAGGGGGACAACTGAAAACGGAGGCCTCCACCTCTGTTTAATGATGGACGGTCTTTCTTCACAAAAATGGCTTCTTTTACTCCTCTCTCAAACCAACGTTCCTCTCTATCAAGAATGAGAACATCCTCATCTCTGAAAGAGTGACCGCTGGCCTGTAAATGAGTGAAAACTGCAGAGTTCTGGCCATTAGATGTAACTCGTCTGTGTTGGGACATTCTTTTGAACAGTGGCTGCTTTGTTTCCCCGATGTATAACTGGTCGCAGTCCTCCTGGCACTTAACAGCATATACAACATTGCTCTGTTTGTGCCGGGGCACCGGATCTTTGGGGTGAACCAGCCTTTGCCGTGATGTGTTTTGGGGTTTGAAAGCTACTGGGACATCATGTTTAGAAAATAAACGTCTCAGTTTCTCCGAAACACCCGCAACATACGGAATAACCACTGGTTTGGGTCTGGGTTTGGGGTCTTCATTTTCACCTGAAGGTTGCATGGAATCCTGTCTGTGTTTCCTGTCTGCTTTCAGGAAAGCCCAGTCAGGATAACCACACTGCTCCAGGGCCTGTCGTGTGTGTGATTTCTTAACACAATAATAAATTTTGGTGATGTTCCGGATCACGATGTGGATACAGGAATTTTTCTTTTAATCCAAGCGAATCAGCCAGGCTGCGCAAAGTGTCTTTACGTCAGATGCATGCCTGCAGGAAACAGGAAGTACAACTTGCAAACTCGCTGGGACGTATCCCAGGATGCCTACGATCAGGAAAGTTGTGATTATTCTGTTATCAACTAGTTTTGGTTATGTTACATGCTGTCTGGAGACGTAGAGAAAGAAATGCGATTCTCTTCACATTACGGGAATAACAGAAGATACCGACAGCGGGGGGAGGGTCCTGCTGCAGCCGAGCCAAAGCTGTTACCAGTGTTACACCGGACCGGTACCGGACAGCGGGAACAGCTGATCAACCATGTGAGGTACACCCCTCCACATAAGAACTTTATTGTGTGATTGGTCAGAAGTTTATGGGAGTGTTTGTTTGTGCTGAAAGCGCTCAGACGCTGTGTTTTACTTCGACCACTCGCTTCAAAAAAAAAAAAAAAAGGCGACTTGCTTCCAGAGCGACATGGTGGAATCTGACTGATGAAAACTTAGGAGCTTAATCCGGGTCTAGCTGGTGGATGAATAACGTCGGGTGACCAGTCTGACTTTTTTTTTTCCACATTGGACTCCACCGGGAAGAAATCCCATGTATACTGCCTGTTTAAATGTTCGCAACACCAGAACTCATTCGGAAAATGTGTTTTCATCACTGCTTTTTTTGCGCATTAACTCAATTACAGGATGGGGGAAATTGGCCTTGGCCGAGGTTTGCACTCTCCGAGTGCTTCTAATTTTTGGACTTAAATATTCTAAGTATGTAACTACTGTATATAAACAATATCTAAATATGACTTACTCTTTGATATTTACCTTATCATTTAACCAGGTATTTTATTTGTACTGTCGAGAAATTAGAAAAAATGCCAGTTTTATATTACCAATCATTATAAATGATCTTGACCTTTGACCCTTTGATGACCAAATCTAATCAGACTGAGTTCTACCTTAATAGAGTTACTATGCCTATTTATAAGTAAATATATTCAGTAGATATCTTGCACACAAGACCACAATGGACCGCACTAACACACAGACAGAGAACAGTATGCCTCTGGTCCCAGTGGGCGGAGCCATAATAAAGGTATCTTTGTAGCACCAGGAAAGACTTAAAGGGGCAACGTCATGTAAAATCAACTTTTTTGAGTTTATATAATGTTATACTCTCATAAAAAACATGCCCAAAGCCTTGCTTTGACTCATTCAAGCATGTTTGAGAAATCCTGTAACATTTTTTGGAAGCCATGCTGAGGAGCAAAACGACAGGTGGGGACCAGAAATGCTCCTGGGATGTGTCTTTAAGCGAGAAGTGGTTATCTGTGGAATAAAAGTGGGCGTGTCACAAGAGTGGGCGTGTCAAAAGCATAAACACTGTGGGCTACGAGGCCTACATGACGGTATCCTTAGACCCTGCTTGTTTTCTTTACAGCCTGAGCCTGACCCCAACACTAAGGTTAACCAGGAGAAATGTGACCCAAGTAGGGTTCTCCAGAAAAAGTGGTGCCGTACAGTAACGCCCCTTTTGTTCTTGTCCAATCAGGTGGTGCCGTACAGTAACGCCCCTTTTGTTCTTGTCTAATGAGGTGGTGACGTACAGTAACGCCCCTTTTGTTCTTGTCTAATGAGGTGGTGACGTACAGTAACGCCCCTTTTGTTCTTGTCTAATGAGGTGGTGACGTACGGTATCGC